CTAACTGGTCTCTTCGGTGCTCGGAGGCTTGGTGGTTTCTGCCTTTCTACTGAGGCACTCTCCTGAATACTACGTTACATGAGACCCCAGCTGGTCCTATCATGTCGACAGCTATACGCCCATCTCTTTCCCTAACAGATTTTGTTTCACTTATCGCCGGTCCCTCATAGTTGAGTTCTGGAGAGGTGGAGTCCAACGAAACGTTAAACAAACGGTAGAATCAAATTCAGGAATATGTTAATAAGGAGGAATGAAAATGTCAGGTTAGGATTCTAGGATGAAAAACGGGCTTGCACCTTACGTGCGTCCAGTTTAATACACCAGTAGGATATGGGATCTCCTTTGGTGCTGCGACGTGAAGATTATTAGCATGGATTGTGACAGTTAGTTTACATTATGTAATTTTGGACAGCTGTCCAAGTGAGCAACAATAACAGGGGTTCACTTCAGGGAATACTGTTGAGCGCTTACAAAGGTTTGCTGTAACGTTTTGTGAACGGAGAAGACTCGGAGTCAGGACTGTATGCTTTACACAACTAATAAATCTGGTAGATGAGCTGTAATAGAAAAAAGCTTTATGTACCATGCAATAGAAAAGGGTGTACAAACAAGAGAACCTTCAAAGCACAATTGAGGTGACCACTTGCGCCAGCTTCTCACACAGCTATTATGGTACCCGTCCCATGGTCTGTTTCAACAGACCCACCTTCTGAGGCGGAAATCTGTAAGAAGAGCCAAGCCTTGGGACGTCACAAAGCGCCGGGATCCAATTTCCTACTTAGAGATGGTAGAATAAAGCTTGTTAGAGAATTCCACGACCTGTTCTCTAAAGTTTGGAACCCTTAACAAGTCCCTTCCTTGTAGGAAGAGTCGACTGTTGTCCCCGTCTTTAAAATGGGTCCGCGTAATGATTGCGCCAATCATGGGGGTATAAGCCTGATCCCAATAGCTTCAAAGCTGTTAGCGTCCGTCATTCTTCGCGCGCGCGAGGAACATGCCCGTGAAGGGCAGGCTGGGTTTCGTGCCGGTCGTGGATGCATCGATCAAATCTTCACCCTCCGACAATTGTTTGAGAACCGTCATGCTTACCGTAGACCAACGATCATTGTGTTCTTAAATTTTCGCGCGTCCTTCAATTTTGTTGATAGGACCGCACTATGGATGTGTTTGTTGATAAATGGAGTACCAGAGAAGTAAGTCGATCCTCCAAGAGTTGTATCGCCATACCTCAGGTCGGGTTAGGGCTTAAGGCCAGCTATCACCACCCTTCGCCATCCTTCGCCGTCTCCAGTAGAGTTCGACAAGGCTTCCCCTTTCTTTTCAACTTTGCCCTAGAGGATATTTTGCAGGACGCTTTGTCCGGTCTAGCGGACGGGGGATTCGAACTCCTCCCAGGGAACAGTTCTTGTCTTAGAATATGCCGATAACATCGCCTTGTTGGGTGAAAATGCACAGACAGTCCAACAAACTTTACACCACTTGGCAATAGAGGTATCCAGGTATGGTATGTGCTTTGCACCATCAAAGTGCAAAGTGCTGGTTCAAGGCTGGCAGAAGCCTGTGCCTGCAATCACCCTCTGTGGTGATTAGCTGGAAGTGGTCGAGAGCCTTAAGTACCTCGGGAGCTTAACTACAGCTGGATTTGGGGTTGGGAAAGAGATCACATCACGAATAGCGAAATCTAGAGCACCTTTCGCCAACCTGCGACACCTGTGGCGCCGCCATTACATCTGACTGTCCCTTAAGGCAAGGGTGTACATCGCCGCGTTCCGTAGTGTTCTGCTTTACGGCTAGGAGACCTGGTCTCTCCGAATGGAGGATGTTCATCGACTTTCCGCATTCGAGCACCAATGCCTTAGAAGCATTAGAAGCATTCATGTCTGGTGGGAACATCGGGTGAGCAATGACAAAATTCGTCGTCCTGTGCTGGGTACTGATAGTCGTTCTCTGACGGAAGAAATCGTTCTACACCGCCTACGATGGCTCGGTCATGTTTTGAGTATGCCTGTCCATCGACTACCTCGCCGTGCTCTCTTTGCACGTGTTGGGCAATGTTGGAAGAAGCTGCGCGGCGGTCAGACCATGACGTGGCGTAGAGGCATGAAGAAGCTGGCTTCACCATTGGTTTCGGTTGGTGCAGCTCGCCTTCCAGGCTGGAGCCCAAAGGATGAGAATTGCCGATGGCTAGATATGCTGGGAGATATGGCTCAAAATAGATGTCAGTGGCGCGATTGCTGTGCGGGTTGTTCGGCGAAACCCCGTTCCCTATAACGCAAACGTCTTCAAAAAGTGTACGGTGAAACTACAAAAACTTCCTTCATTTATACATTCGTTCTCCGTATTCTTTGTTTCCCCATTTTCATTTAATATTTCTGTACCCCTCCATAACTTCATTATCATTGTTTTGCATTGGTGCCGTGCTTGTTCTCAAGCCGGTGTAAAGTAAAATGAATGCAACATTCACCTCGCCTGGAAAACGATTGTTTATGGAAGATGAAACACTTGGAGTATTGTTTTGTGGTGCGAAAAGTTCTCTGTTGTTGTTGCTGTTATAGCATATCGGTATGTGGTGGGGGTGTATTCTTCGTCGGGGCTAGAAGATTCCTGTAAGGTTTTGAGTTCTGTCGGAGGGACGATGTGAAGTGGTGCGGTGGGAGGGTCTATTGGTGCCTAGAGTTCGGGTGTCGACATCAGTCGCAAATGCCACCGTCCCCATATCGCCACTGTTGCGCTTGTCATTTTTACCAACACAGGCCTCTCTGACCCAACGAGCTACACAGGATGGCTTTTGTCAAACCAAAGATCTAATCGTGCCTGGAAGGTCGAACGGTAGAGGTCGGACGAAGTCCAGTCTCCTGGTCCTTCAGGTTGGGGGTTCGACTAGAATTTGCGTTTCGGTCGGTAACAAATGGTGGNCTCGCTGCCTTGCGGCAAGGTTTTTGTCAGAACTAAAGGCTTTGGTTTAGAACCCTAATCGTTCTCCTGCTTAGTGGCTGGACACCCGCGCAGTACTTGTCCATCAACCCGTAATGCATAAGCACTGCGAGTTTGGCAAATATCAGTGAGGTTTACTTCTTTTTATTTCGCAATACGATGATGATGATGATTGATGATGATGATGATGAGGAGGAGGAGGAGGAGGAGGGGGAGGAGGAGGATGAGGATGGTATGTGAGGGAACATTCAAGTAAGAACCGATTTTTATCATCTTGCTTTTGAAAAGGGTGAGGTTATGAGAGCTGGAAAACACGAACGTGGGAAGAGTGTTCTACAATTTCGCAGTCCTCGGGATAAAATAAGATTGAAAGATAGAATTCCGACATCTGGGAACAGAAACCTGATAGGTGACTGGTCGCCTGAGAACGAGATGGACGAGAGAAAGTCAATGGAAGGAGAACCGCTGAAGCAAGTTCGGAAGCGCAGAAGCCAAAATAGTAACGATGGAAAAAAGATAACGAAACAACTGCCCGGCGATGGGAAAGCGACTGCAGGCTGGAAGTTAAAGACGGCTCGTCGATCAGCCGGATGGCTTTACGTAGAACACGATCGAGGAGAGAAAGAGCGGAATATGAAGCCTTATTCCATGCGTGACTGCAGTATTCAAGCATCGGGTGAATTTGAGCCTCGTATAAAAGAAGAAGGTACTTGGGTGTAAAGAAACGTTTTGCGCGGAATAGAAAACCAACTTTGCGCGCAGCGCGAGAGGCAAGTGTAGAGGTAAAAGGGGACCAATAGAGAGAGAAATTTATGGATAAACCCAGGAGAAAGGAAGAATTTGTGGGACGAAAGGGCAGAGAATCAAAAATCAATTGAGGAGCGAAGGAGGCATGTTTAAGAGAGACTGAGAGGAGAAAAGTTTTGGAAGCATTGAAACACATGATTGGTATAACCCCATGCGGAGATTAGTCCGAGATTGGAGGCAAGAGAAGCACTAGTGACATTACGATCGTGATCAATGTCGGTATTAGCTTGACGGATTGAAAGATCGTTGATAAATAAGAGAAAGAGGGTGGGTGAAAGTATGGAACCTTGGGAAACACCGGCGTTTACGGGAATTGGCCGAGACAGGACCCCATCTACTCAGACGCAGATGGTACGCTTGCTGAGAAAAAACCGAAGCCACGATACCAGAGACGGGTGGAATCTGAACGTGGGTAATTTTAACAGCAGATCTTTATACCGAACTCGATCGAAGGCCTTTGAGATGTCGAGCAAGACCATGTGAGTTTCTCCGTATTTATCGAGTGCAGCCGACCAGCAATGTGATGTGAGCACCAGTAAGTCACCCGCAGATCGATAAGGGCAAAATCCATACCGACGGTCATTTAACAAACCTTCGCGTTCGAGAAACGTAGGCAGTTGGTTGGAGATAATCGTTTCAAATACTTTCGAGATTGCAGATGTAAGGGTAATGGGACGGTAGTTGTTGGGGTCGAAAGGGTAACAGAGCTTTGAGATGGGAAAAATAATGGCATTTTTCCATGAAGAAGGGAAAGATTTAAGTTTGAATGAATAACAGAAAAGGCGGCGTAGAACAGGGGCTAACTCTGGGGCACACATTTTAGGAGAACAGGTGGAATATCGTCCTGACCGGGTGGTTTAAAAACATTCAACAGGCGAGGACTTTGGCGGACCTTCTGGTCGTTATGATAGGTAGAAAAGAATGACTAATGTGTAGGAAGACGGTTGAACAGTAGAGGCGGCAGATAAGATAGAGTTGGAAGCAAACCGGGAAGCGAAGACCTCTTGTTTTTCGTGGGGAGCACAAACAAGAATACCAGAGGAATTGCAAATAAGAGGAAAGTTCGAAGGGCAGAAATTACGTAAAACCGCTTTAGCGACGGACCAGAATGTTCGGTTACCGGTGGCGGAAGAGGTCAAGCGCGCAGCTTGGTGACAAATAAAGCGTCCTTTAGCTCTCTAAAAAGTGATCGAACATTTGGTTCTGGCTTGCACGAAGCGGTTGCTGGATGCTGGATAGGGTGAGTGGCACCAAGAATAGAATGCTGAGTTTTAAACATACAGCACGGTTGCAAGCATGAATAAACCACTCAGGGGATCGTGATTTGCCGGGTTTGGAGAAGTGTGAAGTATAAAGATACATGCCTTGAAGAACAATCTCCGTGAAGTTTGAAACAGACTTGGAAACATCCGACTCAAAACAACAATCCTTCCAGCCAGAAAGTCACGAAAACTGTCCCAGTTCGCTGAATCGTAACGCCAAACGTTGCGTTTGGAGTTTGGTGGTGAAATGGAGTGAGAAACGAAATGAGACAATGGTCCGATTAGCCCAATGGAGAAAGGTAAGTGATTTTGGAGAAAGAAGAGGGAATAGATGTGAGAATGAGGTCAAGGGTGTGGGTGCGGTCACCAATACGATCAGGGATGCGTGTGGGGAGGATAACTAGTTGACTTAGGTTGTTGAACACAGCAAAAGCCTCGGCTTCGCGCCCCATGAAGGTAGTGTCTCAGGAGTGCTTCAACCGTTCCTTGTTGTGGACAGTGAAATCTCTGACAATGATTATTTGGCTGTTAGAATATGCCGACATTAGTGTCCCAATGATGGAAGACAGAACATCAAAAATAGAAGAAATACTGCTGCCTGGGGAGCGCTAAACAATACAAAAATAGTAGTCGAAAGACAAGAATTGAAGTTTCAGCTACTCAAGCTGAAATTCACGGTTAAAGAAGTCAAAGTGTGAAAGTCGGGAAGAAGCGAC